AAAAAATAGTTTCTCTAGCTTAAAATAAACTGGAGTTAAGATTTCTTAAAATGAGTCTTCAAGCAAAAATCACCAAAATCTTAAGTATTTGACCCACTCTTTTAAAAAAAAGGCAGGTGTCTCTTTTGTTCAATATAAAACCCGTGAAAAAAGTTTTAGCCAAATAAAAAATAGGTTGGTCAGAATAATGTTTGGTTCGTATGAGAAGTATCCATATATGTAACAAAGCTTTGATAGCTTCGTAGTTAGCATGCTAGCTTCCTAGACAGAAAGGCTCAAGGGATTGTGGGCTCGAATCTCGTTGAAAAAAGTCGAGATATTTTTCTGAGTTTTTTTGGATGGGATAAGTACCTAGGATGCCAACAAACCACTCTATCTGATTTTTTAAGCAAACAAAATATAAAAACAAAAAAAAGGTAAGGTCACTGTTGGTTACAAAAAAGTTTGGTATAGCAAGTTAGATAGTTTATTGGAAAATATCTTTCTATTAAACTCCATAATAGTTGATGTGTACTTAAGACGATCGCTGCCCTGACGAAAATAATTAATGTAAAAAAACATAGCAAACCGTAGCTTTCTGTGATGTAATATAAAATTTGGTTGGATTTCGGACCACAGTTACAGTTTGTTAAGTTTTGTTATGCTTGATTGTAGTCTACTACAACCGAACACATTATCTTACGATTCGTTACATTTTTCTCGTGAAAAAATAACTGTAATAAACTCTAATAAACTGTAAGAAAGTGTTGCCATCTGTAATATTTTATAACAGCTTACAGTTTTTTGCAGTTAATTACGCTGTTTTATATTTTATTATAATAAAAAACTTTTAGACACGTTTCCTTACATTTTCGAATAAAATTTGCCTGAAATAAAAGAAAATTGAGTAATTATTATGAAAAATTAGTAGTGTAATAGTACGAGGTAAATCATATAAAAACGTTAAGAAAATGTCAGAAAATGTAACACAACATACAAAAATGTAAAAATCGTCCGAAATCCATAAGAATACTACAGTTCCTTACATTTTCTTACATTTTCTTGCGAGTTACGGCATATTATTACACATGTTTACTTTTTCTTACATTTTGTTCCGTTTTTAAGTTTCCGTTGGGGTGGGACCTTTAAAAAGTACCTAGTAGGATGGATGACCCAGTTTTCTGAGGGGAACTTTGTAAGGGGCTCGAACGAAAGACTCGGATATCGTGCGGTTTGGGAATAATGTTGGAAGCAAAAAGGTCTCTGATATACCGAAAGCCAAAAAGAATCCTGAAAATTAAATACTACATACACATAAACATGTGGTCATGTAATGTATTTTTTTGGACAATGTGAGTATCGATAATGTTGATTGTAATAATAATTACAGTGTATTTACACATTGGTTTACGTGTACTTACTTACATGCGTATGTAAGTAAGTATTCTATGAACATATACGTATACACATATATAACTAAATTTTGTTTTATTTAACGCAAATCATTCTGATTCATTGGCTATTATTCCAATACACTTATTGTTCACCTGTATTATTATACATATATATCTGCAGAAGATTCATACTAAACTCTTATGCAAGTAGATTGTGCAGACATTAAACTATCTTACTTTATTGGTTAAGCTTATGAAATAAGTAGAATAATAATCAAGTATTAATTTATTAATTTCTATTCAAAAAAATCACAAAACTAAAGTGGAAAATTTATAGAAATGAATAATTTACTATATTGTATAAAACCCTTAATTTTTCTGAGAATCCTTTATGTATTTAATGTTAGAATTTAGTTGCAAAATTCTGTTAAGTACTGAATAATTAACAGGGAAAAATTAGTTGTACTACTTTATAATTAACTGTACTTAAGGAGTGGCAGTACACTACTCGAGGATTAACTTCACTTGGCGAGTGGTGGTACACTACTGAACTGAAATCCTCGTGCGGTCTAATATGAAAGGTTTCACAAAAAGCTTTCAGTTTTATGACAATTAACTATGATAGTACTTACAATACATACTAACCATACATTTTAAACTTCGTAGCTCATTCCGGTGGTATTTCGATACCCTTACAACGTCACAGAGTACAAGGTCGGCACTGTTCTAAGATAGCAAAGTTCCTTTGTAATTACTTATTGCTTCATCATGTATCCGCAACGTTTGAACTGCTTTTTATTACTGTCACAAAACATACGATTCAGCACTTTAAATATCATTCATGTTTCATTGAAAGTGTAGCCTAATATTAAGGAATCAAAGAGCTGTCATTCAACATTATTTATGAGCTCTGCCTTGCTTCTATACGCTTCATTCAATGTTTTAACATTACCCTACTTTAAGTAGTTGCTTACTCATTAATGTGTACTTATGCTAGGGAGTTGAGAGAATCTTACTCGCAGTAAAAGCACTTATATACAGGATCGTATGATATCTTGTAAATAATGTCGTTTGACGTAAGTTTTCCTAAAAACTAAAAACAAAAAAAAGCAGTTGACAGTAGGTGCTTGGGTACCTAAGTTTGTAGTTATACTTCTATGGCATTGTATGACAGACATTATATAAATGTAAAAAACTTTCTATGCAATGAAATTGTGTACGAAGGTGGTGCAATCATCGTTAGAATGAGTATATATACGTTAATTGTAAGTAGTTTCAATACATTTTATTATAAATCAATTAATTTCAAAACTCCCGAAACTAACTTGCTCATTTATTTATAGAATAAACAACAATTGCACTCCATCATGCAACTCGATGATTTGAGCAGAATTATTTTTTTGTATATATGTGTGTTTGTGTGGATGTGTGTCCAAAATTATATTGCACCCTTACATTAACACGTAGTTTTCTCCATACCAAGCAAGTTTAACCTTCTGTTTAAATTCATGCTTGGTGGTCCTATTAAAGAGCACGGAGTGTATTTGCAGAAAATTAAAGAACAATAAAAAAAGGAAAGGAATCGTTTCGTCCTCAAACGCTAGCTTGAGCTCATCAGTGTGGCGTGCTAGCGATATAGCCACAGACGAACACAACCAACACTTACACTGATACGTAATAGTATAACGCTAGCAAGATTGACAAAGAAGGTAGAAAAACAGGCATGAATTTTCAATCTTATTTGATCATTTATTCTATGAATAAATAAGCAAGTTAGTTTCGGAAGTTTTATGATTAATTGATTTACTATAGGAAAACACTTGAAAATTCATGCCTATTTCCCTACTTTCTTTGTCAATCTTGCCAGCGTTATAGTATTACGTATCAGTAAAAGTGTTAGTCGTGTTCATCTGTGGCTAAATTACTAGCACGCTAGACTGATAAGTTCCAGCTAGCGTTCGAGGACAAAACGATTCCTTTCCTTTTTCTATTATTTCCTAATTTTCTTCAAATGCACTGCACGCTCTTCAATAGGGCCGCAAAGCATAAATTTCAACAGAAGGTTAAACTTGCTTGGTATGGAAAAAACTGTGTCTTCATATGTTGGAGCAATATAATTTTGGACACACACACACATATATACAAAAAAATAATTTTGCTCAAATCATCGAGTTGCATGATGGAGAACAATTGTTGTTAATATATTTTTATATTTAAAAAATAAGCAGTTATAAAGAATAGATTACGTAGATAAGAAAAGTACGTAGTATAGATATGATGTAATGTGCTGCCAGGCTTGTGAGTATGAGAGTACCTGCTTTCATTAAATCTTCTTTTATTTTTAAACAACTGCCTACTCTGGTAACATCTTTAATGTGAGGCTCACATCTGTCACATACGCTGAGGCACTTATTCCGACAATTAGTTGCATATACGACATTCACAATAGTTTTTTAGGCTTAGACAAGGCTAAGTAACATTTAAAAAATCAGTGTTATTCATAATTGTTTATTTAAATGTCAATTTCATGAAATTGCTGATCATTATTTTGTCAATAAAATATTTTACAAGTATTATTATAATGTTTACATAACTAATAATGACGCTTAAGAAAATGAAGATATATAAAAACAGTTTACTTTAACTCTACACTTTTAACCTCATTATAAGATTAATTTGCAATATATTTTTAGAACACTAAGATTAGCTTGTAATAACTAACCTTGAAAAATATGAACGTTTGATTCTAATAATGGATAACTTTTATCCTCTAGTACCACTCTACGTTTCATAGCAAAGTATTGTATGCTAGAAAAAAGTAGCTTAAACATCGCTTATTATATAATTGAAAACAATTTTGTAAAATTAGTCGCTTTGAAAATGTAATAATTTATCTATAAAATCTTGTATGAATAAGCTTTAAATAAAAAAAAAAAAACAATTTGAAAATAGTTTTTAAAAAACATTAAGAAACAACTATTTGTTGAAAAAATATCCTATTACAAGGAATCTAAACAAACATTCGTTTATGTATAGGTAGAGTAGCTGTAACTGAGAAAAAGGTTTGAAACGTTAAAAAAATGTTATACAGTTTAATGAATATTTGAGAAACGAATATGATTTGATAATAAAACTACTGTCTTCTTGCTCCTTTGCCATGATTGAGGAAATTTAAATGAAAAAAACTTGGAATCTTAGAGCATGGCTTTTTAAATAGCCATGCTCTAAGATTCCAAGTTTTTTTCATTTAAATTTTCTCAACGAATATGATTGTTTATTTAACTAATTTTGTTAACAAACAGTTCATAAGTACTTACATTCAATGTGGGGGTGGGGTAGAGCAGAACGTAGTCTATCAGGGCCAGGGGAAGTTACATGAAAAATTCACTTTCGACACACATTTTCTTAAGGTCACAAATCTTTAATCGTTGGTTAACTTTGTAGCGCAAATTGTGCCTATATAAGTATAACTTTCAAAAGTTTTACAAGTTAACAGATCGAAATTTACATAAATACGTATAACTATAAATAATGAAGGTCCCTGATGTTAGAATCTTCGATTATGCCATACAATACATATGTATAATTAACGTAATAATCAGATATGTTTATGTTTTGCTCGGCTAGAGATCGGAAAGAAGAGACGGCACGCAGCTTGATAGTACAGAAGTATCCAGATATCGCGTTGCCAGATGTGTCAGCCATCCCAAGTACAGAATCATTGCTGCGCTACTACCTCTTAGCTAACGACGAGGTTAACTTTGCGAAGGTACTTGGAAAGGTGGATAACATCGAGACAATTGCTAGCAATGTGGAGCTTCTGCGATTGGCTGTTGAAAAGAATTTGCATGACACCGTTATGAGATTGCTAGACAGAAATCCGCTGGAGCAGGATACTTTGATTGAGCTTGGCAGAATGGCAGTACGTTGTGGGTATTCAGAGATAATACTAGCACTCATCAAGAAGAGTCCAAGGCTTGCTGACAAGCTGCTTCTTCCAGTTTGCCAGGAGCTTGGTGTCCCAACGGGCCGCACAGATCCCAGTTTTCCGAACACTGATAAGAGACTTGAGTGCTTTAAGATTGTTATGGCTCAAGAGGGCGTCAATGTACGACAGGAGGACGGTAAGTGAAATTTCGTAAATTATTCTTCTCTCTAATTTTCTTGGCTCTGCGTCTATAATGAGGATGCACATCAATTGAGTGATAAAATGGCATAATTACGAACCGCAGGGAAGTTTAAAATATTGCCCCGACACCCCCATGCACAATTAACTTCTAAGTTAAGATTTCAAATTTTTAGTCAATAACATCAGTATTAAATATGTATGTATTTAATAGAGATTATTTTAATGGAATGATAGTTTTAACCCTTGTAATGATTTTCAGCAGAAAATTTAACGACAAAATACTTAATTCGTAATGAACAAGATGTTCAGGCCCGAAATTTCTTCTATAGCTTTTTCTTTTATTTCATTTAACGTAAGTATGTTGACTATGGATATGGCCGCATTATAAGCTGTTACGATTATAAACGAATATACGCTGTATATACACGCAGAAAGCTGCGGTAATGTATCGATGGATTATTAAAGGCATCACCACTGACGTTCGGATAAAATAGGTGATACCAAGCTCAGCTCATATGGTAACAAAAGTTTATTATTACAAGAAACGTAAAAAGCTCACATGATAATGCGTATCTGTGCAACACACCAAAGTTAGTATTGCTTGAGACTGGACTCCAAATATTTTGGAGCTTGTACCAGACATTCATTTAAACATCTAAAACATTTGTGATTATTATAGCTGCAGCATTAGTTATAAAACAATTAACTTACTAATTAGCTAGAAAGTGTAGTGAAAGTTATGTTAAAAACTCCCGTTTCAGTGTCAACTAAGGGTTGTGTGGGTATCTAAAACCAGATAAGTATACATTATATTTGATGCTAAAGTGAACATAACATTGAGAATTTTGGCTTTGTGGATTATTTATTATCTCCGAATTTCCAGGATAAAAGTATAAAGTATGCTTTTTCAGAAAAAAAGTGATGTTACTACAGGGAAAAATTGTAACCTTACACTCCTGGCAGCTGGTCATCTATGGCATAGTTCAAGATTAAAATAAACCGTTGTTTCATTTCAAGATAAAAGTGCTAATAGCATCCAAGTGAAGGACTGCCTGACAGGCTGCGAAGAGCAACACTCGATTAACTACAGTAAGAGAGCATTTTATCGTTGAAAGCATCAGTAAAGGTTAATACAAGTATTTGTAAACTAAAAATTTATTTGTATAAATAGCTGGAATTGAAGGTTACATTTCACTTAAGCTTATTTTAATACTGACATTACAACATTTTTTAATAATTATTTAATTTGCACACCCAGAACATTTTCTTTTTCATAAAAAACATGATCATATAGTTAAAAAGTTTTTGATGCTTCGTTGAAAGATAAATCAAGTGCCTGACAGGTTTTCAATAGTGTTTACTTTGTAAATTCATTTTCATTCCTCTGGAGTATTGCAGAACAGTAAATGAGTAGTATAGTAAACAATCTGAACTACGAGACTTATCATTGGAACTGGTTATTTGGTCAAAGGTGAATCCATAGAAGCAAAAGTATAGCAGCGATGCCATTAAATACCACATATTACTATGGGTAACCTTACAACTAAGACAAATACTCGTTTATTTGTCTAAATTAGAAAGGACCTTTTGTAGTATAAGGGGTATCTATTTATAAATTAGAGTTTGTTATTTGACGGTATCGCTGCTGCGATTTGGCTGCTGATTTCAGCTTCAGGTCACTCGGTTAAAGTAAATACCTTATTGCGATGAAAATGTAATTGATCGAGTTCCATCAGACAGTGAATTTACCAGCACGACAAAGCATCAATACTTAATACTAAATGAAGAGTAATTAAAAACAAAATATGGTGTTAATGGAATCCGAAAACCGTACTCTGGTGCTGGTGGTGATGATGATTGAGAAAAACATTATGTCTAGAGAGTGCTCATCCCACAACAGAAATAAAAAAAAACTCTTAGTTGACATGGCATCATTGGCAATAGATTTTTTATTATTGTATTCACTTATATTTATGCACCTTATATTATTTATAAAAAACTTAAGTATTTTAATATTTAATTTACCAGAGAATATTTAAACGTTAAGCCAACCTCCTCTATGATGGGATACAAACAATAGAAATGATAAGCACTGCAGTATGTCTTGATTGCGCTTTGAAAGTGTCTGAAAAGTCTACGTGCCCTCGGGAAGTTTTCTTTGAATCTTATTGTATTGCTTTTGAAGGCGTCTGTAGATTACTTTGACTCTTCCTGGTGTCACTAAAAACTAAAAACAGTTTTATTTTATTCCATTATTTTTGTTTCTTGTAATGAAACTGTAATAGAATTTCGATTAAGATCTCACCATCCCCGGGAAGAGCATTTGGAAATTAATTTTCTATCATTGTATTTAGTTTTGTTTGTGCACCTTACATTATTTATGACAAATGTAAGTATTTCAGTATTAAGTATAACTCCCTTGCACCTGCATGACTTAAGCCAATCTTCTTGGCATTGAGTCGCTGAGAGTTCTTAAGTAAGAAGCATCATCACCTAAACTTATCTATGAAGCAGTAATTTGGTTGAGTAACTGTTCTCTATTTACAGCTTATGATAGCTTCCAATTCTTTACTATTTTAGACTATACATTTTCGATATAATTCAAATTGGGCGATCTTGGAGGATGAGATATTCTGACGAGTTGGGGATAGTTTTGATACCATTATCTCACAAGTGCAGCTAAATGTATGGGGCTTTTGTCTTCAACAATGTCAATCACCTGATGAGGGTATCTATTTGTCACTGATGGTAGACAAAAATTTTCGGGGATATGCACATACTGTGCAGCATAAAATTGACGAAGAACTTCTACGAGGTTGCCTGGCCCATCACCTGATACCCATCCCCAAAACGTCTTGGTTCTGAGTCCACTATTCTTGTTAGGCTTAACGTATATGGCTTCATACCACATGTTGTCTGGTCTTCATACGCCAAGTAACACCAAGGAGAGTCAAAGTTATCTACATCCTTCAAAAGCAATACAATAAGATTCAAAGAAAACTTCCCGAGAGCACGTAGACTTTTCAGACACTTTCAAAGCGCAATCAAGACATACTGCAGTACTTATCATTTCTATTGTTTGTATCCCATCATAGAGGAGGTTGGCTTAACGTTTAAATATTCTCTGGTAAATTAAATATTAAAATACTTAAGTTTTTTATAAATAATATAAGGTGCATAAATAGAAGTGAATACAATAATAAAAAATCTATTGTCAATGATGCCATGTTAACTAAGAGTTTTTTTTTATTTCTGTTGTGGGATGAGCACTCTCTAGACATAATGTTTTTCTCAATCATCATCACCACCAGCACCAGAGTACGGTTTTCGGATTCCATTAACACCATATTTTGTTTTTAATTACTCTTCATTTAGTATTAAGTATTGATGCTTGGTCGTGCTGGTAAATTCACTGTCTGATGGAACTCGATCAATTACATTTTCATCGCAATAAGGTATTTACTTTAACCGAGTGACCTGAAGCTGAAATCAGCAGCCAAATCGCAGCAGCGATACCGTCAAATAACAAACTCTAATTTATGAATTGATACCCCTTATACTACAAAAGGTCCTTTCTTATTTAGACAAATAAACGAGTATTTGTCTTAGTTGTAAGGCTACCCATAGTAATATGTGGTATTTAATGGCATCGCTGCTATACTTTTGCTTCTATGGATTCACCTTTGACCAAATAACCAGTTCCAATGATAAGTCTCGTAGTTCAGATTGTTTACTATACTACTCATTTACTGTTCTGCAATACTCCAGAGGAATGAAAATGAATTTACAAAGTAAACACTATTGAAAACCTGTCAGGCACTTGATTTATCTTTCAACGAAGCATCAAAAACTTTTTAACTATATGATCATGTTTTTTATCAAAAAGAAAATGTTCTGGGTGTGCAAATTAAATAATTATTAAAAAATGTTGTAATGTCAGTATTAAAATAAGCTTAAGTGAAATGTAACCTTCAATTCCAGCTATTTATACAAATAAATTTTTAGTTTACAAATACTTGTATTAACCTTTACTGATGCTTTCAACGATAAAATGCTCTCTTACTATAGTTAATCGAGTGTTGCTCTTCGCAGCCTGTCAGGCAGTCCTTCACTTGGATGCTATTAGCACTTTCATCTTGAAATGAAACAACGGTTTATTTTAATCTTGAACTATGCCATAGATGACCAGCTGCCAGGAGTGTAAGGTTACAATTTTGCCCTGTAGTAACATAACTTTTTTTCTGAAAAAGCATACCTTATACTTTTATCCTGGAAATTCGGAGATAATAAATAATTCCCAAAGCCAAAATTCTCAATGTTATGTTCACTTCAGCATCAAATATAATGTATACTTATCTGATTTTAGATACCCACACAACACTTAGTTGAGACTGAAACGGGAGTTTTTAACATAACTTTCACTACACTTTCTAGCTAATAAGTAAGTTAATTGTTTTATTACTAATGCTGCAGCTATAATAATCAGAAATGTTTTAGATGTTTAAATAAATGTCTGCTACAAGCTCCAAAATATTTGGAGTCCAGTCTCAAGCAATACTAACTTTGCTGATTAGAAATGAATCCACGCGGCGTGTACGGCCCACTCACGGTGCCGGAGGCCCCGTGTACGTCCAACTAGCGGGCCATGCACGGCCTGTTTACCGCGTGTGATCAGGTACGTGTACGGACAGTACACGGCTGCCGTATGCTACGGCTTTCATGGACTGCCCGTGTACTACCCGTGAGGCTGTGTACTGAAAATGACTAGCAGACAGAGTAAATTGCATGCATTATTGTTTTTTTTTTTAATTTTTTAAAGTAATCTTACAAAGTAAGCTATCTTTGAATTGTCACGAGCATCACTTGGATCAAATTTTTCAACTTTATATTTTTAAATTAGATTTTCTTTGAATAATGTTTTGTGTGATAATGGTAAAATATTGTCAATTAATTGAAATTTTAGTAATAAATAATCAATATGACCGTTTGGAGGCT